TTTTTCAGGCGCCCAACTCTCCCTGCTCTGCCAAATCCACTTCAGTCAGGTCAGGCAAGTTTTAAGTAATCTTTAAAGTCCTAAACAAGAGTTGCTTTAATAGGCTGATACTAAGTTTTTGTAGTACATGTACATGCATGTGTAAGACTGGTATAGGCTCTGTGGTTTTGTGGATATGGCCTTTGTTTGTAGATGGCAACTCACCTACATGTACATCTAGTTCCTCTGGGAGTGTAGTATGGGCCTGGGTAGGCTGGGTAGCTAGTACTTGAGACCAATGTGGGCACTAGCCATTAATTGCAGTACATTAGCCATCAGTAAAAGTCGGGATATTCCAGTATCTTTTTTAATGTGGGCGTGTTTAACATTATACACCACACCTACCCACGTGGTGCCACCATGGCTGCATCTGCTAAAAGTTCTGAAGAAAGAAAGAAGTGTCCTTTCTACCATCTGTCTTACTAGTTTTCATCTTCACTTTCAAAGCATGTTAAGGAGAAACATAGCAATGAGAAAAGCGTCAAAGATTCTCACGTTTTCTGTAATTTATGCGGCTCAATGTAAGTATATTTGAGTATATATACAGTGCTAGAAGTGACACTATTTAATTTAGGGTTTTAAGTGTGGCAAAGCTAATTGAGTATCTTTATCAAATCCACAACAAGGAAATCAAAATAACAAACCATGAATTTCGTTCTATTGATAAGTTTTATGAGTGGAAGAAAGGGGAAGAAAGTCATTCAAAGTCTTTTTATGTCAAGAACAGTGCCAGTCGCATGCAAGGTCTTAACAGGAAATCCTATTATTATTGTAACAGGTCTGGTGTGGTGCGTCAGTCGAAAGAGAAACGTCAGAGAGCTCCCAAGGTTCAAGGTTCCTGTAAAACAAATGAATACTGTACTGCACACATGACAGTGATTGAGGATACTATTACGAAGATGGTTAAAGTCACTTATTGCAGTCATCATAGTAATCACAAACCAGAGGTATGTCATTTGAGAGTACCTGATAAAGTAAAGAATGCTGT